ATGTAAAAATGATAAATCTGTTCGGCTAAAGATGTCAAACGCTATCCGTATTAATTACCCGAAAAAGAAAGGGTATATTAGGGTAGCGACTGACGTCTGACTAAATAGTAGAATGGGGCTGAATATTGAAATACTACTTTTTGATAAATATTCCTAAAGTAATGAACTAGAGAAGTTCTCGCTCGGACACACACTCCATAATCTAGTATATTATAAGAGCATAAACCTGAAGCACGGGGAGGCACTCTACTGTCTCCACACGGCACTAAAGACAAACTCTGTAAAAAATAAAATTGAGAATGAAAATGGGGAATGTGTCAAAGAGACAACAACCCGACCACAGAACAGACAACAGCAGAAGGCCACCAACAGGTCTTTAATGCAGCGAGAAATTCCCGCACCCGGAGGCGTCCTTCAGCTGGCCCCTAAACAAATATATATACTAGTTCAGTGATAATGAACGCCATACTAAACTCCAAATTGTACACAAGAAACTAAAATTAAAAATAATACAAGACTAACAAAGGCTAGAGGCTCCTGACTTGGGACAGGCGCAAAAATGCGGCGGGGTTAAACATGTTTATGAGATCTCAACCCTCCCTCTATACCTCTAGCCAATGTAGAAAAGTAAACGCATAACAATATGCTCATTAAAATTCAGTTCAAGAGAAGTCCGAGTCTGATGTCAGAAGATGTAACCAAAGAAAATAAACAAAATGACAATAATACATAAATAACAACAGACTACTAGCAGTTAACTGACATGCCAGCTCCAGACTTCAATTAAACTGATTGAAAGATTATGTCTTCATCATATGAATATCAAGCACAATCCTTCCCGTTAGGGGTTTAGTACCATACCATCATAACATATATGAGAAGAACATAACCCGTGTCATGCCAACAACTGGTTTTTAAATAAATGTGTTTAGTGCCGATGCAAAGACCCTGCAAAGACCCTGCAAAGATGCATGTGCCTGTCCCAATGTCAGGAGCCTGTAATTCAGTGGTTGTCGTTTGTTGCTGTGTTACATATTTGTTTTTCGTTCATTATTATGTACTTAAATTAGGCCGTTAGTTGTCTTGTTTGAATTGTTTTACAATTGCCATTTCGAGGCCTTTTATAGCTGACTATGCGGTATGGGCTTTGCTCATTGTTGAAGGCCGTATGGTGACTTATAGTTGTAAATTTCTGTGTCATTTGGTCTCTTGTGGAGAGTTGTCTCATTGGCAATCATACCACATCTTATTTTTTTATATCACAGTCATGAATTGCTTCTCCTTCCCATTACATACAATTTAACTTCTTTTTGTTTTTGAAATCATCCTACTCAAGTTTTATTTTTTCTTGTAATGTGTTGGAGCTTAAATTGTGTTATTGCCTTAATAAATGTCAATAATTGCAAGCAAAAGTATCGAATTTTGTATTATTTTTCTTAATGTAAGTTGTATTATTTTTCTTAATGTAAGTTGTATACAATTTAACTTCTTTTTGTTTTTGACATTTATTAAGGCAATAACACAATTTAAGCTCCAACACATTACAAGAAAAAATAAAACTTGAGTAGGATGATTTCAAAAACAATATGTTCAGTCTTACACTGGTCCCCGTCCAGTATTTTGCAATTTTGGGAATTGTTCAGAATATGTAAATTACGGAACCAACCGAAGTTAATACAAAAATGCGCTTCAATTGCAGTGAAACCGATGGGGAAGCTTTGATGTATTTTTTAATAACGATATTGAAGTTGTAGGGACAATTTGCCAATGAATTCATTTCACGACATTTAAAGAAAATCTTAGTTAAATTGTCAGTTTTACAGCTTCATATGTGAACTTTAACATCTGGTTTAATCTCACAATGTTTTGTGTCTTCACCAAGTCATGTGATGAATGTTGTTGTTTGTCACTTTGTAGATCTTCGTTTTTCGTCGGAGTTCAGTATTGGTGTTCAATATTTTTCCAAAATTCATACAGAAAATATTATTTTTATTTTACACTAGGTTTCGTCAACTTTCTGATTTTGACCCTTTAAGTTAAACAAATATATCAGACATTTGCCGTACCTTTTTACTTGCCAATTATCTATAGAAATTTCATTGCTTTTTTATGCTTATTTCCCCCTTAATATACATTCCAGACTATGATTTGTTGAAATAATAATTTTGTACTCCGTGTATGCTGCTATATTCATTGAGAATACAACCATCGATATGGAAGTGTTTGTAGGTGGAACAACCCTTCACGACACATGTGGGGCTCTTTAAATGGACAAAAACATGTGTACATTTGTAATTTAAAAACAAGGTGGTGATATAGGTATCAATCATGTATTATTCTAACAAAAAGTTATTTCATTATTGTCTTTATTTTGTTGTCCTTCTTTACATATGGGTGTACTATTCATATTGAATATTTTTGATTCACAAAGGAAAAAAAGGAAAATCCGTGTTATGCCTGACTGTGTTTCAAATGTCACAGAGAGAATAATAGTTCTGGTTTCTTCAATTTCAGAAATGTCTCAGTTTAATCACAGAAAAATATAAGGAGCAGATCAATCATTTACAACAAACATGTCTAAATAGCACTGATGGCTTTAAAGGTAAATCTACGGATAGAGATTTCAAGTTTATAATTTTGATCGACAAACAACATAATTTATTTTACTGCCAAATTCAGAAGATTGGGACAAAATTCATCAAGGATCTACTTAGAAAGTTATCACAGAAAAGTAAGAAAGACAATTTAAGAAATGCGTTTGACGAAAATGAATGGAAATTGTCCGACTTAAATTCAATTATGGAAAATACTAACAAGATTATGTTTGTTCGTGAACCCTTTTCTAGAGTACTGTATGGATATGTTGATAAACTTTTTGCACCTAGCAATATTTACTGGGATGTAACAGGAAGATCGGTGCTTGTAAAAACTCGAAATGACTTTGATAATCATTCTTTGTCGTGTGGTCATGATGTCTCGTTTCCAGAGTTTGTAAAGTATATGATTAAATCCGAAAAACAGGGTCTAAATCTTGATCGTCATTAATCACCTTTATACGAACACTGTCGGCCATGTCAAATTTCATACGACTTCATCGGAATATTTGAATCGTTTAAAGAAGATATTTTGTTTTTGTTGGATTATTTGAATATTCAACACGTCACAAACATAACACTTAGTGATTTTGAGTCTGAAACAACAGAATCAAGAGCTATATTTCAAAGTCAACGTTTGTTCAATATGCTAAAGAAACTTGAACGCTGTGTTTCATTTTACAATGCAACCAAGCGTACATGGAGAGAAATGCAGATAAGAGGTCTGATCTCGATACATAAACAATTTCCATTCGATGCAGAATATACTGAAAGTCACATGACAAAAAAGACTTATTTGTCGCAGTGAAAAATGCTATTTCAAGTGTAAAAAATATAAGCGAAGTTAAAGCACAGCGTGATGCAGCATTGATCGAAGCATTTAAACTTGTGCCTATAGTCGACCTTTACTCCTTACGACGATTTTTAAAACCTGACTGTGCATTGTTTAATTATGATTCAATGCCTATGAAAATATTTGACAGACAAAATATGGACAAAAATTGTGTTCAATATTTCAATTTGTTTTGAAAATTAGCAATAAACATATTTGTGATGCATTCAGGTAAAATAAAATTTTCTATTAAAGAAATATATTCTAGAAGCTTATTTCGACAGATGTCTGTCTCTGTTACACATAATTTCTTGTCTCATGGAATAAAATTGTTAAAACATAACCTTCTCAAACAAATTAATAGTATGTATTTTTTAGTAACAAAAATGGTCGTCGTAACACCCTGTCGAGAAAAGCAACATCTTATCCTAACCATTTGTTGATTTGTCAATGATCTGTAAAATGTATAAATATGCTTGATATTATAATATATCATATATGTTACTACTCGATGTAGTACTGGGACTATTTGTGCGGCTAGCCAAATTATCACAGGTGGGACTATTTTTCAATTTATCCAGTGGAATATTGATGCATCCAATTGTCTGGACAAACCCATACTTATGGCTACTGTAATGATGTCTGTCCAAAAAGGTCCTGAATAATCTAATGTGTCGTTGAGGGGGTCTCCGTTTTTTAGTTACACCACAGCTTCTATAAAAAATACTTTGCTGTATAAAATATGAACACATGGTATGATTGCCAATGAAACAATTCTCCACCAGAGACCAAATGACGTAGAAGTTAGCAACTAAAGGTCACCGTGCAGCCTTCAACAATGAGCAAAATCCTTACCTCATAAAAAGCTTTAAAAGGCCCCGAAATGACAAACGTAAAACAATTCAAACGAGAAAACAAACGGCCTGATTTAGTACAAAACAATAAACGAAAATATGATATACAACAACAAACGACAAGCACTGAATTACAGGCTCCTGAGTTGGGGCAGGCACATACAGAAGTGGTGAGGTCATATATGTCATCGAGCGCCCCACCCTCCCCCTAAACCTGGGACAGTGTATGGTACAAAGAATATCTCAAATACAAACTATACAAAACAATCAATGAAAAACAAATATGATAAACAGCAAAAACTTGGGACAGGCACATATAGAATGTGGCGGGGTTAAATTTAATAGCTTTGTAAGTTCAAAGCCAAACATAACGAATAAAAGGTCATGTATCTTAGACAAACATATAAATCAGTACACATCCAACATCCAATGGATTTAATGAAAAGACGTCATTAATATTCAGCTTGTGTATTGCAAAAATATAGGTATCGACAGATTGTAGGACCATGAATGTACATGTATATGTGTATAACAATAATATCACATTCGATTTTAATTGATTGATAATAAAATCAATATTTATACCGATAAAATAAATTGTATTTTTGCATCGTTATCAAAATCAAAAGGACGATAACACCATGTTTATGCACAACTTAAAATCGTCTATAAAATCAAGATAGTCATCATGCAATTGTTCAACCAAATAACAAAGTAAAGTATTTTTCTATCTTTTATTAAGAGATTGGTGTTTCCCGATTTTATTTAAATCGGTGTAACATTTGATACATTTGTTTTATTTGTTTCCTTACACACACACATGTGCATAACACATACATGACAATTATCATTAAAAGAAGATGTCGGATAAACGTCAAATTCAAAATTCAAGCAACGATACAAAGGCCTAAAAACTTTTAGAATTCAACATATTTGTTTCCCTCTAAAATAATTCAACATTAGACATACGGATCATTTCATTGACATTTTCTATGTGTATCATCCCCACCAGAAAAAAAAGATGAAAGGATAAAGAAATGATGATATTGTTGGCTCGATTTGATTAACTAATAATAACTGTAACGATTCAAATATTGCTGATAAATACTGGCTTCCCCCGGATATTTCCGATTTCAGGTTGATTTAATCGCAAACATTTCATTCAAGTTATTTTGAACAATCTTAATTTCGTGCTATAGTATAGCTTCTCACTAGTAAACCAATTTTTAACTGAAACGGTCATTTTGGTGTGAACTGCTCTTAAAAGACTGACCAATGAATTATTTAAACAGTTTAGTTAATTATCAGACTTATCCACGTTCTTAAAAGGCTAAACAATGAAATATTTAATCATTTTCAGTGAATTATCAGACTTTTCCGCGTTCTTAAAAGGCTAAACAATGATTTATTTAATAATTTTCAGTGAATTATCAGACTTATCCACTGCGGTAAAGTCAGAACAGTAACTGTTTAGACAATTCGCTTCCAGGTATTTAAGATCTGTTCAGTCTATGTTCAGAATGTTTAGAAGTTGCTTTTTACCTGTACAAAAAATGAAAACAACACTTTATAAATTTCATGCGTGCGAAGTGCTATTCTGTATTTACCTTCATCAGAAATAGCAACATACTGAATACTCTAAATAACTACTTAACAGAACTGGATTGACTGCAATTCATATTTCTGAAAGGTACTGAATTTTCTAAGAAAAAAAAAATCGGAAAATTAACATAAGCTCATAACAAGACTTAACGTTTTTAGGTTCAGAATCTTCAGATGTTGTTAAGTTCATAATTACCATTTAACACCCAAATCAGTTTACTAATTTTAATTAACAGATATATAAGTTTTATCTAGCTTCCAATGTCTGCAATTGCAATTTGAGTCTACGTTTGTTTTGTTGATATGTTGATACTTTGGTCTAACTTGATTTTTGCTGACGTATACGTGTCTTTCCATTGATTCCGTTAACAGTTGAGAGCTTCTTGAAAATACCATTAAACATTCGAATGCCTGTATCAAGTTTGAACATTTAGGTCTTTTGATAAAACTTTCTTTGTTGTATTGTTTATTTATTTATGTTGTGGAGCTCGACATGTTTTTTTAAATGTTTAGTCAGAAAAACAAATAAAAGAGGGACTAAAGATACCAGAGGGACAGTCAAACTCATAGATCGAAAACAAACTGACAACGTCAAGTGATCTTCAGAAGATGCTGACCCTTCCAGAGTACCTGGCTTTTCAGTCATAAAACTTTACTCAGTACTTGGAGTACAACATTTTTGCTCGAAACACCAAATCCAGTACTTTGATTGGTTGATTTCTGCGTGATATCGATAATCGTACTCGAAATGTTTTAGACTGTAAGGCCTGGTCTCACTTCCGAATTTATGTAGTTCATTTTGTACGAGCTTTTTTGTTTTATTGCTTCTAAACTTTCCGAGAGGTAAAACTATATATTAGAAAAGGTGCATACGCAACAATTGCACCAATGATCAGTTTTAATCGCTGTTATTTGACAGTTTAGATCGATTTACTTAGAGCTCCACCATTCTAAGGAAAATGTTTGGGTGCATATGTCGTTTTTTTATTATTTTGCTGGTTTTTGTTATTGCTTGACCTTTATGGCTGAAATTTTGAAGATTTATCTATTATATACATATAGAACATTTTCTTTACCAAATCGTATGTACATATAGAACATTTTCTTTACCAAATCTTGAAGTGGAAGCTTTATGTAGTAACGTGTGTTAATCAAACCTTACACCCAGTAACTTATTATTCTTTCGAATGGCGGAGGACTGCTTGACTGTCTCCCGAATAAAAAAAAAACCGTGCAACTTTCTTACCACACAGTGACGACTATATGGTTTTTGCTGAAGTTTTGCAAAAAAAAAACAATATTGTTAATTACATACATACACATAATATTTGATGAAAAGTGAAAACTAATTTGCATACTATTAGTTTGTTTTACCATGTACCAAGACACAATCTTGAACACACACGCATGTCGAAAGAGTTTTAAGAAGCAAAGAACCTATATCTTTCTCTCATGACTCTCAATAATATGCTTTCATTTAAAAGACTAAATCACTGATTAAACTAATTATTGTTCTCAAATATTGAGGTTATAAAAACTCGGCCTCTTTCAAAGGTATTATATAATTTATATGATAAATCAATTATACCACACCAAGCCAAGCTGTCAACATAAATATAGGGGTTTAATATATGTAAAACGTTAGTTCATAGGAACGCGTAATCATTCACAGGCTTGTTAAAGAATACAAAGTTTTGCCCGGAAACACGTTCCATTGTCTGTCCTATTATTTCTTTCCATAAGAGGGGTTTTCAAATTCATTTGAACTCATCTGTTCATTATTTGATTTATTTCTCCTCCATATTATGCATGCCACAATTAAAGATTCTGTAATACTATAACTGGTATTATTATTCCAAATATGCCACCTGTACTGCTAGTTTTGTAGGAAGAATCTGCTGTTACTCCTAAAAGTATATTTTAACATTTGATAAAAGCAAAACGAATTAGACAATACAACGACATATTACTTTATACATTTCAATAGTTCAATTTTAGAAATAACTTGCAGTATTATTGATTTTGATACATTTTGGAAAACCTCCAAATCATTTGATTTATTGATGTCAATCAGATATTAAAATATGTTTTTAGAAGCATCATTCGTATTTCGTATATCAATAACAACACAAAAGTATTTTCCAAAGTATTTATCCATCATTTGCCTTCGAATTTTCGGGCTTGAGCGTTCCAAATGAAGGAGAATCCAGAATAGCGCCTAAAACCCACCAACCTTTATAAAGTGTTTTCATTTCCCAAATTGGCCTTAAAAATCTTTATCCAAATGATAATTACAGACCGAAAATGTTGTTCAAAGGATGCTTTAAGGACTGAATTGAAAAATTATGTGTCACGCTAACTTTTCTTCAGATTTCCAACGCAACTTTAAAATTGCATTTATCCAATTAATTTGAAACTAACCTTTATATACCTGAGGTCATAACGCAGTAATAAGTACTCAGTCTATCATTTTGTTTAGTATTATCAATTTATTTTAGTGATTTTATTTTGTCTATTATGTATCTGTTCAAAAAGTTTCATTGTCAACTTCGTAGCTTCCTACTTAAATAAAGAACTCATATATTGATGTATGGCTCAAATGACATTAAAAGTAGTATAGATTGTTCATTTCGAATTGACACATTTTAGAATGTAGGTTGTGTTCATCAGAATATTGCATTAAACATTCCTAAATTCGTACTGATAAGACGTTCCAAATCCAAAAGGAACCAAGTGATACATGAGTCATGTATAAATGCGAAACTCAATATTGAAGTTATAGTAAATTTACAAACCAGATCCCGATGGTTCTGAAAGTTTATGAATCGTCTTTACGATAGCATCAGCAGTTTTTCCAAGGAAATTGATATTTTCATCGGTCAGCATGACTTGTAGATTATCACATTCATGATGATAACATTGTATCATATCACCTCGGAAATTGGCTGCGAATAAATTGAAATTGCAGCTAGAATTTTACATTTTACATTTTCTTAACAGAACTTTTCAACGTTAAATATTTTCACTATAAGTTAAAATTAACATCTTCAAAATTTCTTGAGCTGACTTTAAAAGAGTTGTTGAATTTTATTTTTTGCATTTCATATATCATAGTGTACCACGCTCATTCTGAGGACAAATAATAGGGATTATAATTGATAAACATTATAAATAAAAGGAGATACTACAACAAAATGTCTGGAGCTGTTATAATGTGTAATAAGTTTTTGAAGTTACCCGAGTCCGTCAACCAGATGGCTGGATAACCATTTTCCCAGAAATTACCATGATCACTTCGCATGAAGTTAATGAGGACGTTTTTGTCGTCAGATGGTAAAGTGCTGAACTTTAGAAACGAGAGAGGAAGAGATTCTATTTCATATTTTGCTTTCCCCAGACCTCTCCAAGACGAAAGAAATTCGGCAGCTAAGTATGAATCGTTAGTTGGTTGCCGGTATATCAAATTAAGAAAGTCTCCTCGGAAATTGTCAGAAGCTATACTATCATAGGTTTCTGGAAATGCTGTTTTAAACTGAAAAAATATTTAGATTCATGAAGACTGTACAATATAGAACGGTTATTGTTATGGAAACAGCAAAACAAGTAATATTTGTTTTTCGTCAATTGTATAAGGCCGTTAGTTTTCTTGTTTCAACTGTTTCACAATTTTCTATGTCGTGGCCTTTTAAAGCTGACTATACGAAATAGATTTTTCTATTTGTTGAAGGCCGTACGGTGGGTGACCTATAATTGCTTATATCCACGTCATTTGAACTCTGATGTAAAGTTGTCTATTTGGCAATCATACCACATCTTCTCATTTTTATATGTATACAAGGTCATATACAAATCGAATACTCGAAAGCTAATGTTACTACTGAATCTGAATGATACAACCTTTGAAACGGTTAGTTTTAGTCTATTTTAGTATTATTCGTATGCCTTCTTTTTTTCTTTGCCAATTTATCATGACGTAGCTAAATACAAACTTATCTAAGCTGCTTAGCTTTAATATCAATAAATATATAACAGCATAAAAGGTTTGAAAATTCCCAGTGGTAATATAAAACTGTACTTGATTGTCGGTATATCAAAACTAAGCAAATCGCTTAAAGTCAAGGTCCAAAGTTTTTTTCAATTTAGTAAAAGGTTTTAATCAATTTATGAAAGACGTATCCATGTTTTGAAAGATTTTTAATGCTCTAAATTTACAGCTATATCATCAATCATGCATTATGCATCTTCAAGGACTTACATTTTGTTAGACCTTATGACACATATGGTATTGTCCTCGCATAGTATACAAACAGAATAGTGTATAGGAGTAATTCACATTACATGCATATGAACCGATAAAGGAGATAGGTATTGAAAACTCTCTTTGGAACCCAACATATACTTCAACGACACTTAATACAGAAGAAATTCTGGACAAAAATAGGTTTAGTTAATTTTTCCTTTGGCAATTCAACCAAACATGACGAAAGAAATCTGCCCTCACTTAACTGGTTACATTATAACACAAGTTTCATTTAACAAACAAGTATGTATTGCAAGATCTGTCAAATGCTCCACTAAACCTCTTTCCATATTACCTTTAAGCGTGAGAAGACACCAAAAAAAGCAATTAAATGCCACAAGTCGAATAAAGGCACCAGGTGAAAAAAAATTCTGTCAGCAATCAAACCAGGGCTACTGAGTTGCTATGAAAGTAAATCAGATGTGGATATTAAAAAAATTCCAAAGATCTGTAAGAGTACATACAATCAAGTCTTTCCCTTTTGCAATAGTTTAATAAATATTTTACTTCTCCATCCTTTACACTTCACAAGTCTTTGGCAATTCTTAAATATAAATTGAGTTAAAATATAGTAGTTACGCTTTGTATGGCAATAACGTATCAATTACATATAAAATCGACAATATGTCTATCTATTTATTAGATGATTCTATCATGGGCAATTTTTAGGCCTCATAAACTTGGATTTTTCTTTGAATATAGCTTCAGAAGTGATAAAAGAACGATTGATTTATCTAACAATATGATCATTGAATACACTAGGTATATTAGTACAAGTAAATCCTAGTATTGAAGTTAGACAAAATAATGGATGGAAAGAAGCTATACTTGCGACAAACTATTAGGATGGAAACTAGCTATCTTCTATGAATGAAACCGAGTCAATAATGCATCCATTGATTTATAGATAATGAAAAATGAAAAAAAAATGAAGATTGATGTCTTATCATTAGATAGAATAAACACTTTTTAAATTTCGTGAGTCCGAAGAGTTTTTCTGGATTTTATCTTTATCTAAAACGCTCATACCTAAACATTCGAAAGCCAGGGATGCATAATACTCTGCGGCCTTAGGAGCTTTATGATATAATTTTGTTGAAGATTTTTTTTTTACTCTCCTTTTGATATCTTCGAAAAGAGGAGCGCTTATGTTCTTGCGTACGTTTATGATAAACATGTCCAGTTGTGCAACACCAAATCTTGTTTTTTAACAGTTAAATAATTAATGTAAACATGAAGCTTTTCGATGAAAAAAAGAGAAAGTTGATATAAGATTTACGGATAACATGAATTATCAAAAGTTTTGAACAGTACTATAAACAACAGCAACCACCAACATATGACTCCTCCAAAAAATATATAGACGTACAGAGACCAGCAACAACGAAAAATACATTGTTCAGATAACTTGACTTGGTAACGGAACACAATGTGGTGGGGTTTAACAAGTTTTACGTCTAATATACC